TTGCTTTTTGCTTTTTGCTTTTTGCTTTTTGCTTTTTGCTTTTTGCTTTTTGCTTTTTGCTTTTTGCTTTTTGCTTTTTGCTTTTTGCTTTTTGCACCTTTTTCCCCTGGGCTTTTCTGTCGACTGTTCTGCTGATATCTTTTTTCTTTTCCTTTGAGCCCCCTTCATAGCAGAGTGACCAGGGGGAAGGACAATCAAGCACTGAACGGTGAGCAGACTGAAGCACGCATTAAACCCTGCTTGGAATGGGACTTCCTTTCTGGACAGATTTTCATTCTGTTGTAACGCTTCACTTGACAGGCAGGGGCACAAACCACCACGGAGCGGTCCACCTTGTTGGCGTTATTGATATTAGCTGTCTCCTTTGCCATAAACAAGCCGACTCCAAAACAAATTGTTGATTATGCTTGCAACTGGTAAACACTGACCCGACTGGACCCACCACAATACTCTGTCTTATTCCCCACGCAGAGCATGGAACAATCCCCATCACCGCCAGCAGCGAGCACTGCACCATTCACCGGTCCAGCAATATTGCAGTAACATTCCTTAGCATACTCCACGCCGGCCCAGGTGAATCCCCTTGTATTGCAAGTCTGAACACACAGGTCGACGCTCATGCTTGTTCCGTCGGTAGTTGAGTAACTTGTCCCCGAGCCCGAACCGCCCAGCGCACGACCACCAGACCCTTCAGTGTAACATCCCTGATAAGCATATTGCGCGGTGCTATTGGCGTTGACCGAAGCAGGATTCGAGGGCTTAATATACTGTTTGTTTTCGAACAGACTGAGGGCATTGGACCCGCCGCAGATTTCCCCAGCATTGCCTTTACATTTCATATTGCAGTTTGTGTCGGCAATTGCTGACGCCGTGCTTGCGAGGGTGTCTCCAGCCCAGCATTCGCCTGCATATTCCAAACCAAAGTATTTGCGGTTCGAGGTCTGGGCTGTCTGTGCGCATAGCTCCAATGTCATGTTTTTATCGGTCGTTCTGGATGACAGAGCACGCTGACCACCCGTGTTGTCAGAGTAGCAGCCAAGGTATGTTGCTCCAGCGAGTGAAGGAGTAGCGGAAGCCGAGGCGGACGACGACGTGGAGGTGGTGCTGCTGCTGCCGCTGCTGGAAGTGACACTCCATACGCTCAACCGGCTCGGACCGCCACAGTATTCGGTGCGATTGCCGGAGCAAACCATGGCACAGTCGCTTTGCGACGTCGAGGCTGTTGAAATGACGATGCCGCAGTAGCATTCCTTGGAGTATTCGGTGCCGAACACGTTGAATCCTTTGCTTTGACAGTATGCACCGCATGAAGCGCTGGTCATGCCAGTGCTGTCAGTGTAGCTGGCGCCGGTTAGGGCTCGGGAGCCCGTTCCCTCCACGTAGCAGCCGCTGTAGAGGGCTGTGCTTCCCGAGCTGAGGACGACACTGGTCTCGTTGACCACGGGGACTACAGTGGTCTGGCCGTCCGTGTTGGTTACGTTGTTGAAACCGGGTTGAGTTGAACAGACGCCTTGAGGAACATCGGCGGGGCCGGAAGTAACTTCGTTGCATCCAGGCAGCTTGGGAAGAATGCCCCTCACTTGTTCATTCACGATCGCTGGACGTTCAGGGCAATTGGTTGACGAATAGTCGTCTTGCGATGCGTACAGTGGAGGACATTCGGAGATGGCGCCCGAGTCGACGTCGTTGAGACATTGGGCGATACCGTCCGTGAGAACCTGAGTGTCCCATCCGTTCAAGAAATCTAGTGTAGAAGTCAGTAACTAAGCGCACAGAACCCGGTTGACTTCGCTGATTGTGATGGTCCTACTTACCACCATGAAATCCGTATCCTGTAGTATCTCCCTGAGAAAAGACGAACCTGCCCCCATCCGAGGTATCTAGACGGTTCGGGAAATAGTATATCTCATAGAACAAATGTGGCAGCGGCTTCGGATGAGTGGGTGGACAGACGCCATTGTCAATCTGCGACATGTAAGCCACATGTGACTGGTCAGATTTGTACAGGTTGACCCCATCCCAACAGCTTTGAAACTGGATCTGGGCTCGAAGCCCCTGAGGACAATCGGTGCTTGCGAGGTTCGGCGTTTCCGGCGACGGGCTGTCATAGTTAATACAAGCAAAGCTGACTCGATTGGCAACTGGCCGACTGCTGTAGGTCTTGTTTCCATAGGTCATGGTGGTGTTGTCATACGACCTCTTGGAAGGGTTTCCGGATAGCATTCGAAACCCAGGAGGGAACGGGATGATGTTGCGTCGATCTTCGCCTCTGCCCAGGTAATACACCACTGTTCCATCGTTTGGCACATCGACAAAAGATCCGTTTGCATACTGGTAGTAGAGTAGAGGTGTCCAATATGCGCTCTTGTCCTTTTGTATGGAGCAGGAGGTGCAAGCTGCGGCTGTAACAGAATCATAGTCTGATGTGGTGTTGATGTCTGCCTTGGTGTGAACATTTCGGTCTGCCTAGAGTTTCAAGTTCTTGTACTCACTGGTCGCTCCGGAAATGATATGCACATGGCCAGAGACCGCGCCTGGGTCAATGATAGGATCAATTCTTCCTGTTTGTGCCAGGCCGCAGGTCATGCGCCAGAATGCGTCCGCGCTCCCCAGCCAGGACGCTAGGCCCAAGGCTGTGGAAACTTTCATGCTCAACTTCATGCTGATCACTGGCAACTGACGCAAGCAAGATGATCGACATCCCTGATGGTGCTGAGGGCGGGTATAGCATTCTTGATATACCGGGGGCCGAACCGAGCTGTCAATACAGGGGTTGCACGTGCATCCACCAGGGGGGTTGTTGACATTTTGTTGACAGCAATATGCAATTAAACTTGGTTCGATAGTGGTATAGGAACATTACAGCTCGGGCCACTGTCCTGTCAAACGAGGCCATATCGTCGGGCATATCGACCAGTCATACCGACATTCAAAGGCAGCACGGCTATAGTAGACTGGAATGTGGGTGACCTTGCAAGGACGTAGACTCGACGTGTCGACGGTGGATGGTGATGGCTCTACGATTTAGGGCCGATGTCAGCAATCAACCTCACCTGTAAGCAGAGGCTAGACCATGAAGCTGGACCAGGTCGGCAGCCAAAATATCGCATGAAGTGGTGACAAGGGGGACAGGTGATAAAGGTCTTGTTTCTGTGGTTGAGCGCGCAGAAGTTGGTGAGAGTCCACGCGCGCTCTCTTAATCTTGCCATTTCGACTTCCAAGTGTCAACACGGCTGCTTCCGGCAATGTCAACTGAAAGTCAAGGTATTTTTGTTCAATCCACTGGCATCCGTAATCAGTTCGCAACAACACCCAAACAGTCACTGCCGTGCTCTCCTGTAGAGCACTGTACACTTTTGCATTCTGCAGAGCGACAAACAAATACCACCTTAAGGTGCCTCAAGAGAGCAATAATGAATGCTCACACAATCAAGCAGTGAGACCGGCTCTTCGGAGGTTACCCCTGTTTTATTCCGCTCTTAATGCCCAATATTGGAGCGAATGTAAATGTGAAGGTAGGTCCTTGAAACGCGCAACTTGCATACCTATTACACGTTTCTGCCTCGAACCACCAGGATGCGAAAACTCTATTGCGCGTACCAGTCGGTGCCGCGTTCGGTATGCCAATAGCGTCGCGTATAATGTGACTCAGTTCACAGTTGCGTGCCAGACGCAGAATCTGCTGTGAGTACCTCACGGCCGCCGATAGATATAAATATATCAGCTTAGGGCGATGCCTCACCACCAAAGTCGTATGTTCCATTTGAGATCTCTTTCCTCGAGGCGTTGCTCACAGTACGCATACTATATCTTGCCCATCGTGTCAATCTTCACTTTGCAACCCCATGTTATAGCTGCTCAGTGCTCACCAGGATGGACCTTCTTGCCGAGCTCGAGGCGATGGCCCTGAACATTGCGGACTTTTCAGACGATGATACCATTACCGACGAAGATGTGGAGCGGTGGCAACTTTTGTTTGGGTATAAGCATGCCAAAGCTGTTCGACGGCTCGAAGAATACCGAACCGATTACTCTCGCAGAAGTGTTCCAGATGATCTTTGGGCCACAGTCTGCTCACAAAAAGAAGCCGAAGGATATGACCGCGAGGCATATGAATACTCGCTGACGCTTCAAAGTCAGTCAGTGGTCTGCGACGCCCACATTTCACCAGACCTACGTGAAGGAGCAGCATCGGGCATGTTCATCATGAAATTGGAGGACCCTTTCGAGACCCCCGAGAAGATTCAGCTCGCCGCGGGGCTGGATCACACTCCAGAATGCGTAGCTGGAGAAGGGGAGGTCGGTGTGGCGGAATTTTGTCGAATCGATTACCATGCAAGATCGCGGCTGATGGCGTGGATTGCTGAGCATCAACCCGGCGTCCAGCCCACTATTGTCCGATTGGCAAGCCCAGCAAAAAAGAACCTCAGCTCTTCCACCATGGCACCATTTCTGGGCCAGAACCCTGCGACCACTGTCCCTTGTCCTAGGGAAAGCACCAATTTCGAAACCTCCTTGTCATCTATGTCAGTACCTACGCAGAACCAATACCCGGTGTGGTATTTCTTTTATGGGACATTGGCAGAACCCGAAGTTCTGACTCGGCAACTTGGGCTAACCGTGGAACCGGATCTCATCCCTGCCCACGTTGAAGGAGGCCGTCTTCGGAGATGGGGTGGGAGGTACAAGGCGTTGGTTGATGGGACGGCAGAATCGAAAGTGTTTGGCAGTGCATTTCTGGTCGGGTCAGCCGACCACGAGAATGCACTGCGCTTCTACGAAACAGACAAATACGAAGTTGTCAGATGCAGCATAATAACCGCAGACGAGACGATACAGGGTCTGACCTTCCGATTTGCCGGTCCCAAGGAGGCACTGGAGGACGAAATTCATCAAGACAGTTGATGTCTATGTGTATTGTGCGGAACTACCTCGGATCTTTGAAGCTATGACGAGGGTGCCCCCGGATGGCTCCTTAACCCTCAAGGGAACCTTGGAAGCGTGAAGGCGCTCCAGTGTATCGATGTCTCGGCACGTACGACGCCCGGCGCACGACGAGACTCGATGCTGCATACCCCCCTGGTCTGCATGGGTTGAAATTCCATGCGCGGTATTTGTCGGGGCACACATAGTGGATGATGGATTCGCGAGAGGCATTGTCAATGTGATCGAAGGCACAGACAAGCCCGCGAAGAGGACCATATCTTGCCAGAGGAGCCGAGACCATTGTGTCCCTGGCGATATTCGTTCGGCAGAACCCTTGGACGTTGTCCCGCCGTGGGGGAGGGGCGCAGCGCGCCGTCGCGGGCCCCCCAAAAGAAACGGCCTTGGCCCTGGATCTCAGTTGGGCGTCGGAGTAGGAGCCGGTCGCCAGCTAGATGTGTATGTGAAAGCCGCAGGATGCATCCTCTCGGAACTCAAAATTTTCACTCAGAGCGGCCCAGAACTTGCCGATGGTCGGCACATAACCGTCATCGGCTGATATTACCGGCGAGACTATCTCGACCGGGTCTGATGAGATGTTAGTCCACATGTAGCTCGAAGCAGTTCCACAGCGTTGACTTACAGAAACCGTCCCGAATATGCTTTTTGGGAACGGACCCATCCAGGGTCGCGTTCCATTGGTTATAATGTGGACCTTCTTCCGAACCTTAGGCGTATACACCACAGGGGAGACCGGCCTTCGACAAGACATCGGCAATGACGCCGAGAAGCTGCAAATTGAAGTCGAGGGTTACTCGTGTTGGTGCATCTGGCTCTGGGCATTCAAGCGCCCTTGGCCGCGAAATCAGCTCGAACTCCGCACCAATGCTGAACCACAGGTACGCCCGCGGGTTGGGGCCGATATTGACGGCGGGTTTGGGCGGATGTTATAATGGGAGGGATCTGTGATGATATTTTCCCGGCGGCCATGTACAGACCGACTTGTGCCGGCACCTGTCGGCGGGTCGGAGCGCACGCCAGGCCGACGGGACGCTCTAGGCGATTGGGAACGGCAGTGATTGTGGGGAAAAAAAGGGGTTTTGAACATTAATATACCTCCAAGTGATCTTGGGAAGGAGCGTAAGTTAGGTCGAGGAAGGTTGGATTGGGTAAGGCAGGGTGCAGAAAGGAAGAAATAGGAAGAAACAAAATGAAACCGAGGAGTTCAGTCACCAATATAGCCACTGCACCAATCCGGCGACAATATACTGTAGGAACGCACCTTGCACAACTCGGTCTTTACCTAATTCCAGCGAATGCAACTCACTTGGACACTGGATAACATAACGAGCCAGAAGCCTATGCCTTACCATGGGTGCCCGCTGAGCCGGTACTGGCTCATCTATGTACTAGTACTCAACACTGCAGTAACTGCGTTATCATGTGTAACAGTACATCGTGCTTTCCCCTGAGTCCGTGGTTGCTTCTCTGAATCTTCTGTAGCCACAAAAGTGAAAAGAAATGTAGAAAATACCCAAATAGGCGGTATATGCTCCTTGAATGAGGCTGGATGTGGCACTTCACGTTGAAGCAGCGAGCCTGGTCTTGGCATCAGCTTGAGCCGCAACCTGGTGCTAGACGAGGCCAGAGCGCTCCTCTTATTAGTACACCTTGTACAGTCCATCATCGGCGTCAACTTTCCATCCGGCGAACCGCTGTCTACGCGCTCATTTTACAGGTGCTCGCTTCTTCGGTCTCCTCGACAATACCACCTGCCGCGTCAACATGGCGGTCTTTTTTCTGTACGGAATTGTCGCAATTTGCCAGCTCCTCTCCCTCGCTCTGGCCGCGACACTGCGAGTCGAGATTCCTAGCTCCAACATACTGCCGAATCCGAATACTCTGCCAGCTTCGACTCATGCGACCTTGACATCGGGCTCAGGGCCACCTATCAAAGCCATCATTCGGAAAGGCAATTATATCGAGTTCCCTGAGATCAATACTGTCGGCTCCCATCTTCTCGACATCTACAGCCGCGACTACGTTTTCGCACCCTACCGTATCGACATTTCACCGGCTCCAGACTCACCAGGTACTCTGATTACAGGAGCATGGGAGACATACCGAGGAGCTCGATGGGCGGATCGAGGAGTTGCGCTGGTCACTGCCCCCACCGAGAAGTTGACTTTGAATGCCAAAGTCTTGAGGACGAAGAACTTTTATGAGCAACGCCAGGGCTTCAACCCTCTGAGTCTGCTTAAGAACCCTATGATCCTGCTGGGCCTGGTTGCGCTGGCTTTCACTTTCGGTATGCCCAAGCTGATGGAAAATATGGATCCTGAGATGAGGGCCGAGTATGAAGAGATGCAGAAGAAGACCGCCATAGGCGGCCTTACTAGGGCTATGCAAAGTGGTGGCGCTGGTGCAGGCGGCCCTGCTGAGAACTTTGATCTTGCTGGGTTCCTTGCTGGCAGCAGCAAAAGCTCTGGGGCTGACAGGACAGCATCTGAGGGTATTCGGGAGAGAAAGAGATGACCTGATCCAAAGCAATGGTGATGGAATATGTATAGATTTTTTGCTCAGATGTTAATCCGACTCAGCAGTGGACAACCTTGAATTGTCCTTTGAATGAAACAGCTAGACGGGGGCCAATCTTAATGGCTCGTATCTACAGCCGAGCTCGGCTAAACAGGAGATCGAACCATGGAAACTAAACCCCACGTTTGAACGAAGAGCAGCACAACAACCTACACAACTTGAAGAGTCTAACCATTCCAGCTGACAAGTGAGGACATCGGTTGGTCCATTCTTGAACACCAAAAGCTACAGTAGCGTAACAATGCACAGATGTCACTCGACCTTGTCATGGTCGTCAGGCCGCCGGCACTCCTCCGAGGTTGAAGTCTGGGGCCGGTCAAAAACCCCCAACATTGTTCTCCACAAACAATGGTTTGGTGCCTCCGATCTACGAACACCCTGAAGTTCAAGTGGATCCAAGGCGGCTTCCAGTCTACAATGTATAAGGCCATCGTCCCTCTACCCAGGAGTCTATCAAATCCTCACCTCTTCAAAGCGCCCGGATCAACCGACCAATATCTGGATAACTTGGATCTGTAACTCTCATAAAGACGACATTCGCTTGGTCTCGGAGTAGAAACTGGTCCTCAGTCGATTCATTCTCCGTGTGTCTAAGGTAACCTCGGCTTCTGCCCCTCTTGTGCCGTGGACTACTAGTATCTGAGTCCAACTTCCACTGTGTGTCAACCGTGCTTCTCAAGGGCTCGACAGAACGAGTTCGGAACACAAGCTCTCTTGCACACTATTCTCTTGTCCCCCTGAAGCAAAATGGGCGGTCCCAATTCCTCAGACATGGCGGCCAAACTCCGACCCCTCTTTGAGGCCGCGGTCAACGAAAAGAAGATCCCAGCAATTGGAGCATTTATCGTCGACTCAGAGGGCAACTTCCGGCTGAAAGAGACATTTGGAACCACCAACATGGATGATCCCAACGCAGCACCATTCGACGCCGACACAACAACACGTCTGTTCTCATGCAGCAAGCTTATCACGACCATTGCAGCCCTGCAGCTACTGGAGCAAGGAAAGCTGTCCCTTTCCGACCCAGTCGAGAAATACGTGCCGCGAATCTCCAAGATCCAAGTCCTGCAGTCGTTCACGACAAACGACAAAGGCCAACCTCAACCAATCTTTCGCAGCCCGAAATCCAAACCGACCATCCATCAGCTCATGACACATACATCCGGCTTCTCCTACGACTTCTTCGACAAACCGACGCTCCAATGGCGTCTGTCCACAGGCGACGTTCCAGCAAAGTACAACGACCGAGGGAGCTGGGAAGATTTCGAGACGCCATTTGTCGCTGACCCCGGAGCCAAGTACGTTTACGGCACGGGTACCGACTGGTTGGGGCTTGTTGTGCAGCAAATAGCTGGCCTCACTTTGCCCGAATATGTTGACAATTTCATCTGCCAGCAGTTGGGAATGACCAATACAAGACCTGTTCTGAAGGGTCCTCAAGAAAAGAGGCTTATCGTGCATGTCAAAGGCAACGATGGCAAATTAAAGGCAAACCCGGCGTTGAAGAATGCGGAAAACCCGCAAGTATATGGCGGAGGCGGGTGCTTTTACTCGACCATGAATGACTTTGCGAAGCTCTTGTCCACTTTGTTGAACGGTGGGACGAGTCCGCAAACCCAGAAATCCATACTCAAACCGGAGACGGTCAGAGAGTACCTCTTCAAAGACCAGCTTCCTGCGGAAGTGGATAAGTCTGGTCTAGGTGAGATTCGCACGAGTATTCCTGCCGTTTCGAATGAAGGATCCTTTTTGCCGTCTTGCCCGTTGACCCAGCGCGGATGGTCGTGTGCCTTGCTTATTAACCATCAAGATCTCCCCCGGGGCAGGAAACGTGGTAGTGGTGCTTGGGCTGGGCTGGGGAATTTGTATTATTGGATCGATCCGACTGAGAAGATTGCTGGTATGGTCGTTTCGGCTGTGTTTCCCTTTCTTGATCCGACAGTGCTCAAACTGTTTGATCAGTTGGAACGAGTGGCGTATGGACATGAGCCTGCTGGGTTGGAGGATGATGGGTTGAGTAATTTCAGTGTTGGGGCTGGAAGAAGTCCCGCACCAAAGATATAGACTCTGGGGCGCGTCGTCAGTAATTGGTGGCAGTCACTGCGTGACGCGTCGGAGAGGCTTTGACGGTTCTGCGTGCTGGTATCACAAATTTCTGTGACAGAATGGTCGAAAGTACGTTCAGTTTTCAGTCAACCAAACCACGAATTGTGCCTTTGCTGTTCGTAGGTCATAACGGCCACTGCATTTATACTAGTACTGTCATGCTTTAGTCGTTCAAGTATCCAATCCACTCTGACCATTAAACAAAGCCGTATCCGTAAACTCGGCGAAGATCTCGGGAAACAGCTCCTCGATCGAGCTGCGACGTGGCTGGGTCATGAAGACATCTTCCGATAATGTAGGATCAGCATTAGGATTATTCAGCATTTGGTCCAGATATCCATTTTGGCCGCTTGTATGAGAGGCGGTGCCGTTGCCACTGCCGGGTCGGGTTAACGGCGAGGACGAGGAGACCGCCGGGAGCAGGTTTGAAGGCGAAGCAGGATGATGTACGTGTGTCGGTGCGGGAACCGGGATGGGAATGCGAGGCAACGCGTCCTCGACGCGTTTCAACAGACCCTCGCTCTGCGTCAAAGCGGTCTCCGCCATGTCCCAATGATAGTCATGGTGGTATTTGGCCAAGCAGTTGACGAGAGTGCGGGCGCTGGCCATACACTGGGCACGCACGGCAGCAAAGCCCGTTTGCAATGCACATCGCAGCAATAAGGTCACAGCGGAGGTGAAGTGGTGCGCACTATACGGAAGCCAAAATCCGTCGCAGTCCTGTTTATGTAAACCACAGACGAAGCGGACCATGTCTTCCGCGGCGGCCTGGCATGCCAATAGCCATGAGGATGGCGGGTTGGGTTCCCGCTGGCTGATTTCGTGCCAGGCGATGCGCCGCAGTAACATGCGGACGGAGAGGTAGCTTAGTTGTAGGTTTAGGAGACCTGGAACCTGGGCTGGAATAGGAACTTGGCTAGAAAGGGGACGGTTATGGTTGTTGGACAACTCGCTCAGTTGGTGCGAAAGCCAGGAGGGGACGCTTTCAATCCAGCGGTTTAGTTCGATTTCTGATCGTGACGTCTGCTCTGCAGCCAGGCTGTCGTTGTGGCCGGATCGGATGTGGTAGATTAGTGGGAGGACGTCGCCGACAATCTCGGTCAAGCGGCAGAGGTGGATGTAGACTTCGGCGGCGCGGGTGTGTTTGAGATCGTTTGAGTTTGAGTTATCTGGAGAAAAATAACCGCTGTTGCTGGGACTGTTGTTGGTGGTGCTGCCAGCCCGACCCCTCGTCAATAGCTCGACTGTGGGCAAAGGCACGTCGTAGTGGCCCTTTTGGATATAAGGCGGGGTCCCCTGCGCAAAATTGAACCAGCGGTCCTGAATCAACACGCCCCACCAGGCTTTCCAACGCATGCGTTTCTCGGCCTCACTGATCTTCCACTCGCTGCAGTCATGGTTGAGACCACTAGCATGCGATAGTGCCACGGCCCGTGAAACGCTGGTCAGATTGCTGACGAGACAGCGTGACGGCCGGCCCGCGACGTTCGTGCATAAGGAAATGATGGTATTTAGATCTCCTTTTTGCAAATCGGCCAGATTCGCCGCGACGGCGGCCTGCCATGCGAAATCCTGGTCGGGTCTCGCGGATGGCGGCGCGGCGGCCAAAGAAGGTGACATGTCCCAGTAGAACAAGGCGTACGCTATCAAGTTGACGTAGAAGGTTTGGTGGGATCCAGACCCGAAAGTTCGGTCTTTGAGTCGTGACATGGTGCTCTCCTCCTCCGTCACAGGGTAGCATGGATGCAGATTCTCGTAGTAGTTGGCCAGCAGGGGCTCCAACACCGGGTCCACCTGTCGCAATAGCCCCGCTGGGAGATTCCGCCCGCAGTGGCAGTCATTCGTCGGACTGGGCCGTCGTGGCGGTATGGGTGTGTGGTATATCGGTGTTTGGTCTCGACGGCCACCATTGACAATGCCCGGTGGTTGGATGGCCATCGCTTGACCGGTCGGTGAGTGTGTGGTTGATGAGGTGGGAAGATACTGGTCCAGAACCTGCGTGTCGCGTGCGATCACCGGGCCGACAATATGGGAGGCCATCCCTTCCAGACTCGGAGACTTGCCATCGGCAAGCAGGGACCGGTGCAGGAAGCCGATTTTAGGGCTGACCCGCTCATCTCGTTTGCCTGTCGCTGAGGAACAGGGAACCCCGTGCATTCGACATAACAGACATGCCTCGCCAGGAATCTCGATTGTGCATCGTGAACGACGCTTGTGGCAGCGTGAGCAGGCCGGATATTTGTGCGACCGGTACGGCCGGGCGGTCTTCATATTCATCTGATCTCGAGTTGTTTAATGCAGATGGCACTACTGCAGTACGCCGCGGACACTGGCATCCGGGCCCCCAGAAAGATTGTCGTTGGCTTCTCGGCGCGCTGCTGTAGTGGGTGGCCGTAGGGGCGCCCAGAACATCCCTTAGCAATGCGGCGGAAAGAAGAGATGTTGATTGGCATCGTTTGGATGGAGCCAGATCGAGCCCGATTGTCGCCGGCCCCGGAGCGGAAAAGCTGCTCGGCACGTTCGGGTTCCGCGGAAAATCCATGTCACGTGTGGCTTAACTAAGCCGGATTCGCTAGTCTCGATAGAGTTCTGTTGTACACAGTCGGCTCCGATGCCCCACTGCCAAGGAACACTTACGTTAGCTGCA